CACAGGGCTACTAGCTGAAGCCAATGGCATGCGTGTATCTACTACACCAAGCAGCAGTATATAGGAGGCAAGCGTGGACAGTTCCAGGTAGGGTTTGGAGCCTACATAAGAAATGAGTACTGGAAGATCCTGGAGGACAAGGACAGTCAGGTAGAGAGATTCAGGGCACAGTGTAGGGCCATGGCATCCCAGTCAGGAGTTGACATTGCTGGAGGAAAGAGCAGTGGCAGGAGAGCAGGGCATGCAGGAGGGGGAGGGAGGATAGTTGATGATACTCTGCTGTGGAGGAGAAGGAAGGGGGCTGAAGGAGATGGGGGGTGTGGCCAGGCATCTGATAATATTGAGTGAGGCTTAATGTGCACTCACATGCAGCAGGAAGGGAAGCGAGAGTGGAGGAGGTTGAAGATTGGAGAGGCCACTGGGAAAGCTGAATGGTGGATGGGGCCAGGTCCTTGACCAAGGAGGCCAGGAGAACTGCAGGTGGCACAAGTTTCCTCCTCACAGTTTCTCTTTTCTGGTGGACTCAGGGAATGTGCACGAGGGAGAGCAAAACCCAGAAGACTGCTCTTAGTCTCCTCCCACACCCTCTTGATCTCAGCCCAGAGTCAGAGCCGGACAGCCAAACAGTCTGTAGATCTAAGGCTTTGGGAGGGCCATGTCCAACCTTGGCACATCCAGGATTTAGAGCTGCCAGACATTCCCAGCCTCAACCCAAACCCTTTTTCAAACCCTTAGAGCCAGCCTTGTCTCCTCTGGTCAGTGTTAACCTTAGAGCCAGCCTTGTCTCCTCTGGTCAGTGTTAACCTTAGAGCCAGCCTTGTCTCCTCTGGTCAGTGTTAACTTTAGAGCCAGCCTTGTCTCCTCTGGTGAATGTTAAGTTGATCACAATCATCTTGGTTCTATAGCAAGAATCTTTTTAGACCTTAGTGACTGGAAGAGTCACTAAGTGGAAGTGTTGTTCTGTTCCTTCATATTTTTCCTGCATTTACACAGATGCAGGAAATCCTACAGGGCCAAACATGGAAGGGGAAGAGTGCCAAGGAGTTGGCCCAGAGAGTGTTGTAGTGTAGATAGAGCCATCTGATTCCACCTGACATCTTGATAATCTTTCTGTGCTGAGGGTGGAGGTTCCAGTGCCAAGGAGCTCAGACCTTATTCCCTCAAAAGGTACTCCAGTGCCTGCTGTGGGCCAGCAGAGTCACTCCTCAGGGATGGAACCAGTGTGTAGGACCTTGGTTACAGGGTGGAGGGCTGGGATTCAGAGTGAGGCCTCTCTACTTGAGGCTCTTTGCTCAAACCAGGCAGTCAAAGCACCTCTCAGACAGTGTTTCGCACTGCTGAGGTTTTCATTTGAAAGGTGCCCAGTCTTCTAGTGTATAAGGCTCCCTAGAGAATTGCCAATCCTCCAAAATAAAACAACCCAGCAGTGTTCAAATGTAGGTCTCAGAGACATTGGAAGTGAATAAATTCAGGGCAGCAGTGTGAAGTGCCTGTCCTGACTATTGACTGCATGACTTTGGTGAAAAGAGATCTAGAAACCATTTTAAGACAGTAGTGGGAGGAGAGAAGGAAGGGGGCACTTGGTGTTGGAGCTGATGCTGAGCACAGCTCCTGCTACTCTCCCTCCAGTGTGTACCCCCACTACTGGAGGAAGACATCTGTCAAGTGCCCACATGGTCTAGGCATCCCATGTCCTATGTCCTACAAGAATAGAAGTTCTACAAAGACAGATACCATACCACTGGGGTGTGGACAGCCAGGATTGGAGTTGGTTTTAACTGTGGATCCATGCCACTTATCTTCCAGGTGTCTTCCCAGGTAGTCATGGTGCAAAATAAGAACATGTAGTCTGAACTAAACGTATACATACACATGCATATACACATACATCCTTCCCGAGCACACACATTCACACACTTCCTGCTACAGCTGTTTATTTTTGTGTGCAGGGAAAAATATGGAGGGAAACACCATCAGTCAGAGACTGGACACTAAGCAGCCTAATCCCTGAATGTTGTTTAAATGCACTGGTTTTATATTTTATTATAACACAGTTTATCAGCATTGACATTGGGGATCCTAGGAGAGAGAGACCTTTGTCTTGACAAACTCTAACAGGGCAGTAATATAATATATGCTTAATGGTGTGTGTGTGTGTGTGTGTGTGTGTGTGTGTGTGTGTGTGTGTGTGTGCACAGTGGGGGAGTAAATTCCATTGAGGTGGGTGAACTGTGTGCTGGAAATGAATCCAGGTACACATTTCACACAAAGTGCAGACAGCAAACAGGTGAGCCCTACGGCACTGAGATTGACTCAGGTGTGAGTCTGAGAAGTGGAGTCACAGCATTCATTCAGGAGAATGAACACAGCACCACTTGTTAAATGAGGTGTGGTAGTGATTTTTATGAGAAACACTGTAAGAAGGGCCTGTGTGTTTGCTGCCTGCCTGCATGGGTGCTACTTGTTCATCTACTCCAGTTGCATCTGTCAGGTGCTAGTGTTTGCTAGTTTATATCACTGCCTTCAGACTTGGATCTAAAATTGTGAAGCTGAAATAGATTTGACCGGGTCCTAGCTCACTGTCTTCATGGGGGTGATAGTAGCTGCTCATAGATGTGAGGCAGCCAGAAAGAGGTGTGTCTCAGTTCCTGGTTGATCTTCAAGTGTCCCCATATCCGGGCAGTTCATCTTTCAGCCAAGCAGGCCACAGTTTGGTTACAGCCGGTTTCCCAAGTGTGCCTGGCTGGGACTCATCACTGGGTCCTGAGATGCCCTGATGAATGCTTGCTTCAGACATAACTGTCCGGCCAGCAAGTTTTTCCTTTGTCTGTTTCCACTTTCCCAACCTCTGACTTCTTGATACATGTTTGTTCCAGCTGGTTGACAGCCTATTCTCACTGAAAATCCTTAAAATGTTCCAGGTGTGTACTTTAAAAAAAGCTGCTAATGAGGAAGAGGCCTGGTAGGAATCAGAAGGTCTTGGAAGTGTAGGTTAAGAATGTCATCCCTCCCTTTCTTCTCTGTCAGGGCACCCAACAGCACAGGCTGGAGATGCTGGCCTTGCCTTGGCCTTAATAGTCTCCAAGTTGTCCCTGGTGGTTCCTAGGTTTTTGGCCCCTTATTCAAAGAGTTGAAATAAAGGTTGACTCGGATTACAAAAGTGGCAAGGAAACTTTATTGGATCAAAATAATATTCACTACAGGAAGAAACATTCTGTCAAGAGTGAGAGTGGCCATGCGAATAGGGGACTCAAGATCTCTGATTATTATTTAGGGCTTCCTTTTATGGGGCTCAAGAGAAGGAGTTTGGTTGCTAAGGGCTGTAGCATGGGTTGTTCTCTGTTTTGACTGGCAGGTTTATGTTGAAATAAGGAGCTGGGGGAGGGGGGCTGCGTCCCCAGCACCCCAGCCGCCTGCTAGCTCATGCCTGAAATAACAACACACAAACTGTATTCATTAAAAACTGCTTGGCCCATTTCTATCTAGATTCTTCTAGGCTAATTCTCGCACCTGGACTAGCCTATTTCTAATAATGTGTGTAAGCACCCCAAGGTGCGCTTACTGGGAAGATTCTAGCCTATGTCCATCCTGGGTCTGAGCTGTATGGGAGAGCAGAGCCTGGCGTCTCTGCTCCAGAGAGCAGAGCTGTTGAGTCTCTCTGGGAGCAGAGCAGACTCTGACCTCACTTCCTCTTCCTCCCAGAATTCTATTCTGTTTACTCCTCCCACCTATGCTTTAACCTATCAGGACCAGCCAAGCAGTTTCTTTATTGCTCAATGACCTTCCTCCATCAGGTTTACATTATGTAAACTTTCATTTACTGTACATGTCTTTTCCCATAATGCATCTGATTTTAGTCATATGCCTACTTAATTATGCACAGGCATGGCATGGTAAATACGGGATAGTCCACAAAAGTTCACTTAGAGGACACAGTTTGCCTTATTGTTCAGGTACTTAAACTAGTTCAGGCTGGATTGGGCCACCAGCCTCATAACTGGATATAAATGAAGTATAATTTAATACAATTTGTTTGTCTAATGGTTGTTAAATGGCAAGAGAAATTTATGCTGTTGTTCAAAGAAGGGAGCGCTTGCAGCTCAGCGAAGGTGGGCACTCTAGCTCGCTAGCAGGTTGCTAGGTAGATTATTCAAGAGGGATGTGTATGGTACATGCAGGTGTGAAGTCTTGGGCTGTCAGGCACAATATTAAAAGACGGGCGTGTGCACAGCCCATACCAAGTGGAGTCCTGGGTTGCTGAACTCTAACCTGTGCTTGCCTGCCTCTACATGATCACACACAATTGCTCCTGTTGTCCACACAGGAGCTAGCCTTGGTGACAGCTAAAACTTAGTCACTTTGATTCATCAAATCACACTGCTAAACCTGCTGGGAAAGTGGATATATGCTCCCACACTAGTGATAATTTTCTCTTCGGTCTCTTTGGGGGTACAAGAGATGGAAGGGGTCAGCTTCAGGAAGGAATCCCAGGAAATCCCAGAAGTGTCTCTGGTTGTTGAGGGCTTGGCCAAGGACTTTTCCTGATTACAAGAATGGAGGATACCATGTGAACAACAAAATGTAAGATTCTTCCGCTAGTTTTAATTTTCAGCTAGCCTAGAGCCCTGGAGCCATGTCCAGGACAGGGTGGGTCCTACGGGATTAAACACTTACACCCCTCCACAGACAGTCTGCACTATAAGAAGGCTTCTTCTCTTTGTCCCTGAGATGCTGACAGAATGACAGTAGTAAATATTTTGGCAAAGAAATCTTGGGAAATTGGAGCAGAGTTATAGGGGAGAGTATTCCATGTCTCTGCTGTTCCCTCGAGTCTGCCTGTGTGTATCCTCACCTCAGACCCAGCCTTCCTCCTCCATCTGCTGAGTTTAGGTACAGCCAAGCTTTAGCCCTGCTCACCTCTGTGCTCACCTTACAGCCAGATGCCTGTGTATTTTGCATCCTTACTGAATTCCTGTTGACACCCACTCTGTGCTTCCCAGGAATTGGCCAGCTGCGGATGGAGTAAGAAGGAGAAACACAGTCTTGCCCCTAACGTTGTGGCCTTTACCCGGAGGTTCAACCAGGTAAGCAACATCCCTGCAGTGTTCTGTCCTCATGGCAGTTCACTGTACCTGTAGCCCTCAGGGTTCAGTCCAAGCTTCTTGGCCCTGGGTCCTAGAGCTCTTTCCTGACCGCCCACTGCCATTCATTTATCCATTCAGTCTGGTTCACAAAGTGAGTAATAACATTCCTTTCCTGTGCTGATGCCACCGTACAGAAGCTCAGGTTCTGGGAGGTCAGGGGCTGGGAATCTGCTTTCCCTTCTTGCCTCATTTCTCTGCCTCCTTTTTTCTCCAGGCTCCAGCATCCTGGCCTGCCCTCTCTGCCATATCTATGTCCCAGTAGGCCCCTGGTTCCCATGTCCTGTGTTCTTGGCCCAGGACTCTTCTTTTCTGCTTAACTCTAAGTCAGATCTTAGCCTGAGCATCACTTCTGCAGGGAGCAACCAGCCTGTCTGAGGTCTCCCCATCACACATCCCCTCATTTCTCCATGTGGTCCTCAACTCAACTGTTTTTGTTTTGTGTGCCCTGTCCTGTTCATCATGTCCCTACTACCTTGTCAGTATTAGGTTTGTGTGTAAAGGGCCCTCGGTGAACACGTGAAGCAGTGAGTGGACGGTCAGGAGATGCTTCTGGAGTTGCTTCTCCTCATGTCCTGACCCACCTGGCCCCACATTCTCTACGCTGACTTGGTCCAGCTAGCACTCTGGAATGTGAAGATGTTACACTGTGATTGGTTTAATAAAGAGCTAAATGCCCAATAGCTAGGCAAGATTGGTAGGGCTTCTGGGCAGAGAGAGAACTCTGGGAAGAAGAAAGGTGGAGTTGCCAGCCAGACACGGAGAGGAAACAGGAGGTACAAGATGGAAGAGAGGTGACCCCATGTGGCAGAACATAGATTAATATAAGTGGATTAATTTAAGTTGTAAGAGCTAGTTGGAAAAAAGCCTAAGTAAGCTAAGGCCAGGCTTTCGTAATTAATAATAAGTCTCCAGGTCATTATTTGTAGGCTAGCAATCCAAAGATAGTCCAACAAGAAAGCTTGCTATATCCAGGTATGAAGAGCTACCTACCACCTGCAGTGGAAGATATGGGCTCCTAGGAGCAAATGAGAAACTCAGAGGCAAATGGACCAATTGAAGGGACCAGTGCTTCTGATTTCTCCATCAGAACCTCCAGAGCATGTACTTTGATAGTAAGCTCCCACAGGTTCCTTTTGCAAAACCAACCTCCATAGTGGATTCTTCTCAATGAGCACAGTGACCTAAAGGCTGCATTATTGTGTGGCTGACCCTCTGGGTGCTTGGGCCCACATTTCCTTGGGGTCTCTGTTTCAGCTGGGCCTTACCTTTCAGAAATGCCTGGCCCTGTACATCACTGTTGCTCAGCCTTTGCAGCCATCTGTAGCCTCTGCATCCATCTTGGACGGCAGGAGCCTCAGGCAGGCACTGACTTGTAGTCTGAAGATCAAAGCTGGGGTTGGCATTGTTTGTTTGATGAGGTGTGATAGGCTTCACAGTTTGTTTAAATAGAGAAGTGATTTCTTTCTGTATTGAAAATCTTTTCCTTTCAAACTGAGCTTAATCTTAAAAAAAAGGAAAAGAAGTCCATTGTAGTGGTGCCACCTTTAATCCCAGCACTCAGGAGGCAGAGGCAGGTGAATCTCTGAGTTTGAGGCCAGCCTGGTCTACAGACTGAGTTCCAGGACAGACAGGACTACACAGAGAAACCCTGTCTCAAAAACAAAACAAAAAAGGAAGAAGAAAAGAAAAAGCCAGATGTGTGCACAATGTCAGAGGACTCATAGTTTCCTTAACAAAACTCTTTGACTGGGAGCCAACCCCATCTCTAGGCAGCCATGGAACTCACAGAGGGTGGGTCCTTGGGGACACTGTGATCTGTTTTACACAGGGGTGCCAGGTCAGCTTGGCAAAGTCAGTATAACTGTGTGGCAAACAATTATATTGTGTCCACCCAGACCAAGTGGTGCAGTGATCCAGAAGCTAAGCCATGTTTTCTCAAGCAGAATGCTCCAGGAAATACAGGTCATGGAGAACCAGAGCTTCTGGACACAGCCTGGGAGCTTTGGCTTGAAAACTGGCCAGAGGCCAGCCTTGGCCCACTGCTGGGACTGCTGTCTTTGGGATGAGCTCTCTGGTCCACTTATGGGTGGACTTAAACCATGTGACGATGAGACTCCTTATCAGACTCCAGATAAGAGCTAGCAGCCCACTGACCACTCTGAGCCTCAGTTTCCTCATCTGCACCCAAAAATAGCAACATCACCCACCTTACAGAGCTGTCATAAGGGTAACAGGAAGTTTGGCAGCAGTAGGCTGCAGATATTTCAGAGGGGTTCTAGGAAAAAAAAAATCTGAAGATCAGAAGGCTAGAAGGATGTTGCTGGAGGATTTGGGACCCAGTACAAGTTTCCTGCTCAGTTCACTTGCTCCTCCATGGGAATTGAGTGCCTCAGGGTTTACTCACAGAGTAGCAGGATGGTAGAGCTCATCCAGGCTCACCCAAGGTCTGTTATGTCTCCACCCCGTGGAGTTTATCCTGGCCTTCCGTGTTACTAGGAGGACCTGACAATATCACAGCTGAACCTGCTTCTAGAAAGTACACGTACATGAATTGCATTTGATTTGGGGGTTTGGTGCTGCCCTGAAGTGTGTGCAGGGAAGCCAAGTTTGAGCCTTAGCCACTGCTTGTTAGCTATAGGATATTGGACTGGCTTGTGGCCTTTGCACTCATCTAACTCATGGATCATCTCAAGTGGGTTTTGAAAATGAAATGAGAAGCTGTACTCAACCCAGAGGAAATGATTCATTAGCTTCAGAAAGTCTGTGCTGTGGCTAAAAGCACCTGCTTAAAAGTAAGGTAAAGCAAAAGCTAGGGACTGAAGCTTAAGAGTATGTCAGTCCAGCAGTGTGCTCAAGGGGGACTTGGAAAATGGAGGCAAAGGGGAAATGGGTGGAAAGTTTGCTGACCATGTAAGCCTGTTGGAAAGTCCTAAGCACTGACAGTGGCCCGGGTGAGAGAACATACAGCACATAGACTGTCTCTGCTTGCCTGGGAGCCTGCAGGCGGGAGCATGGCAGGACATGTGGGTAGTCCGTCTGTGCATACAGGCTGGAAGGATTGGGGCAGGGGCAAGGGGGCTTTAAGCAAAGAAGGGGCAGGAGTGAGGACAAATTACGACAACAGTCTGCCTAAAAGGAAAACGGACACCAGGCTCCGGGGACTGAGTGAGAGTGAGAAAAGGGGAGAATACGGACCAGATTTGAGGTTTGGGGTCCATGGTGAGAGCATAGGATTTTTTTTTTTTTTTTTTGCTGTTGGACAGCCCTAGACAGTGGGGAAGGAGGTGACAGAAGGGGCTGGAGGTGACAGTTGCTGTAGTCAGAGTGGTCCAGGGATGTGAGGACACGTTCATTTGCAGAGATGCTGTAGTTGCCTAAGGAGAAAGGTGACATTTGGCGACAAGAGGAAGACAGTGATCCATCTGTGTACATGTAGAGGCCAGAGGTTGAGCTCAGATGCCATTCTGTACGTGAAATCTTTCTCTTCCTTCCTCTCTCCCACCCCCTTGAGACCAGATCTTTCACTGGCCTGAAACTTACCAACTATGCTTGTCAGTAAGTCACAGCAATCCTCTTGTCTCAGCTCCTCACAGCTACTCCCAGCTTTTTATGAGGGTGCTGGGAACTTGAACTCAGGTCCTCTTGCCTACACTGCTAACATTGTTATTACTGAGCCATCTCTCCCAGCCCACTATTCTTAAACTTGGGCTTTCCCTTTTCTCCCCCATTTGTTTTTTGTCTTGTTTGTTTTATTTGTGGATGACTAACTGCATAGAGTGCTTTGTCTTCACAGTCATTTTTTCCCACTCATCTGCAGGACTTCATTCCCAGGGGATGTCCTAGTACACTCCTGTCAAACGAGTGCTAGCTATACAGCCCAAACCACTTATAGCAATGATAGTCTCTATGTATAAAAAACTTAATTAGTTTCATGACCAAATGGTCTTTTCAACATTTCAAAAATTTAGGGTAAGTATTCTATTAACAGGCAGAATAAGAAAAAAAACATATAAAATCCAACATTTATACATTATTTAAAAAAATAATCAAATTAGAAAGGGGCACTTCTTTGACTTTCTAGAGAATTCCACAGCAACCGTAAGCCTGGATGATCCTGATGGTAAGACGATGTGCTCTCATGCTGGTCCTGTGAATACTACACAGACATCCAGGAACAGTAAAAGACATTTGGCCGAGAGAGAAAGAAATCGAGGTAACTTTATTCATAGACATGACTGTCTATAGAAAATTACAAATAAGCCATTTTTACAAACTCATGGCACTAATGCACAAGCAAGGGACACAAGGTCGTTCACTGCACAGAAGGGGTTGCTTTAGTTGTACTAGCAATGAAGAATTGGGATCTGAAGATTGAGAGCACTGTTTGTAATAATGCCAGAATACAAACAAAATTTAGGTGTTTATTTTTACGAACTATGGTTTATATGTTGAAACCTATAAAGCCCTGAATTGAGTAATCAGAGTAGATGTTAGGAACAGGGAGAGGCTTCGTCTTCATGGATGAAAAGACGTGGTGTCATTACGACGTCAGTTCTCCACTTGACATTTAGGTTCAGTGCTGTGTGTGAGATCCAACAGATGCATTCCAAAGGTTGTATAGACTGACCAGAGGCCTGCAGTACCCAGTGCAATGCTGGAATAGAGAAAACGCTGCAGTCACTGCTGACAGAAGAGCAGGGACACCTAGGCCAGTGGGCTGGAATGTGTGCCGAGAGTGTGCTGGGGCAGCTGTAGAGTGCACTATCTGCGAGTCTGTGTGCATGCGCATGTGTGCAGGTGAATTTAGATACAGACTTTAAGCCTTTCATAAAAATTAACTCAAAATGGGTCAGATACTCAGATGTAAACTTTTAGGAGAAGACATAGGCCGGGAATCTCTATGCCCTTGGATTTGATGGTGAGCTGTTAGAGACCAAAAG